TATGTTAAAGTATGTTTCAGGTGGTAACTAGGAATAGAGAGGACTCCTCTTCAAGAAAGAAGTCGTAAACATAGTAGAAAAAGGGATATAAAATAGTTGCATTCTCTTGTCCATAGACAGCTTCATATGTTTGCAGAGCTGCTATAATGCATACCAATGCTACTATCCAATCAAGGTTACAAACCAGAAGTTTAGCTGATGTCAAAAAGTGTGAAGTGTCGAAAGTGACATTCTTTCTTTACTTGCTTTATTGCAGTTATTTCTACTTTAAAAAAATGCACATAGTAAACAACTTTCAAGGTTAAGTGAACGGCTAAGTATACTATAGTTTTTCCTTTCAGGTAAGAATCCAAGCCACCAGAAACAGCTTTATTGAACAGATGTCTAAATGCAGGTGTGAATTGCTTTGGATGTGTATTTTATTTTGTGTCTGGGATAGTATTTGAATTTTTTGGCCTGTGTTTAACTGTGTTTGGTTTGTGCACTCAGCTGACTGAAGATTTGGTTGGACTGTATCTACTTGAACAAGCATATGTCCTTTTCTTGATATCCTCAATATAAATTGTAGTTCATTTTATCTTGGCATTACTGTGAGGCCTTCATTGCCTTTTGTTGGGATTATTTGCAGTGTAGAATCACCTTTTGCAAAATCTGTAGGCAGCCTTTTACAGCCTGCCACATTTACTCACATCTCATGTCTGTCTAGTACTGGGTTTTGTTTAGTTTTGTGTGGCTTTGATAATCTGAACCACTGCATGGGATCTTCTAGTCTATCTCTGACTTATAAGAGCAGAAGTTTTCGGAAGATGTCATAAGACATAGGAAGCAAGCCTATTTATAGTGGTGGCCCTCTCTATGTCCCTTAGCTACATCCCAGAGTTGAATAGTATGCTCTACGAAAAATACATAGCGCATTTGTGACTAGTACTGGCATGAGCTCTATAAACAGTGTACTTTTGCTTTCCTGCATAATATAATGCAGCAACTTACAAAACAGTGTATTTTTCCTTGCTTTTTACTATAACAATATGTGATATTTTTTAGGGAAAACACTAATGTCTAATTTTTCCTGTATTTCTTGGGAAGAAGTACTTTGCATATAACAGTGATGGTTATTACATAGGCATGAGTTGTCCAGTATGCTCAAAAACGGAACAGGCAGACATTTAACCCTCATCTGCATCATCAAAAATAAACACAAAAGGATTTTTTGAATACTGTCATTTATAATGGGTTACCTACCTGTTGCCATTTATTTTTTCTGCTGATATTCCTGAAAATTTGAGGTTTTATACTGTTTATAGGTAATATCACAGTATTTCATAAGAGTAACATTTCAATTCAAAATTACTTATTGAAAAATTTAATTAAATTATTGCTGAGAGAGGAGAATGGTAGGGCACATTGCAAGGAAACCATGACCGGGGTAGCTGTGGCATACATAATATCTTGTAGTTTACAGTGTAGATACACTCTAAGTTATAGAGGACGGAGATGCCTAGTGCAGTTTGATGGAAATACAGCCATATATAGCCAAAGAAATATCTAGATTACACTAAGAAATTTGGCTGCAGAGAATAGCCTAGGAATGGACCTGAAGCCTCATTTTGACCCCTTTGCAAACAATAGGAAGAGATCCACTCACTGCCCTGAACGTTGGATCCATTGAATGCAAATATGCCTCTGTTGACATCAGCTGCACAAATCAGAAACACTCCGCTAACTGCATGAAAAACACGGTGATCATTTAGATGGGTATAGTGCATGCAAAAGAGCTTGTGAAAATCCAAATATTAGAGAGACGTACTCAAAGTAGCAGCTTATTCTTTCACTCCTGACCCCAGAAAAACACATATCTTGTGATTAATCCACAATGACAATCATAAGTTAAGAAAAGAGGTAAACATTTTCTCTGTTTCCCAAGGAAAAAGATGAGGAGCCAAGGCTTATCACACAAGACAATGGAGTATGATTTTGCATCACAGATGCTGTCTGGATAGGATAATTAGGTGCATATTGCTAAGGAATTCAAAATACCAGATATCCCAAGTACACTTCTTTTTCTTTCGTGTTTGTTTTGTAAACCAGCTATTGCCCTGCTCTACTGCATGTTTACTCCTGAAGTTACAGGGAAAGGTTGCTTTCTTTCCATGCACTAGAATAGCTCTTACTATAAACTTGTCTCTGATAGGAACCGTTTCCTGCAGGAAGTGCTTGGAAACAATTTCTACTAAGTGGATGACTTTTCAAGCAAGTGCATTTCCTGGGAAATGCATATTATAAGGCTAAACAAACACAATGGATAATATTCAGTGTCCTTTCAATCTCTTGCGTTGAGCCCATTATAATGGGTTATGTTCTGCTTCTTTACACAGCCCATAGCTCCTGAGCAGCAGGGAACCAGGCCTCTGCTTCTTGTAAACTATTTAATCTCCTCTTTTCTGTCATAATAAAAAAACTCTTAATGAACAATAAATTGCTTTCCAGCTGAAACTGGCTTGTTGTATAACAGAAATGCTCGCCAATAAATGATAAACCCACCTTTTATTGCAGAAAAATGGTCATTTTAACAAACATCAATTCTGAGAGCTGACAAAGATATGAAAATAAGATACCAACAGAATGCATGACAAAGCCAGCTTGTTTCTACTCTTATCATTATGAAAATGTGTTATACACTATCAAGTCTCATTTCCTTTCCCAGTCACAAACAGGTGGGATGAGATTAAATCTTCAAAGGGCACTGGACATGATTGTCCATGAGCTGGATGAACGTGGCTCTGCATAGCCTGTGAGTCAGAATGACTCTCAGCAGTTCCTATGACTAGCTCTTCATCAATGGGACCATGGTGTCCAAAAATCCTTTCTGACACTATACCTGCCTACAGTAAAACCATAATTTTTCTTCAGTATTTGTAATATGTAATTCTGTTCTACACAAAGACTTTGCATACTGATATTTTCTCTAAATTAGTTAGCTGTAGCCTATTATTTGATGAAAAACATAGATTAAAGAAATTGACAGAGTTTTCATTTTATTCCTTCCCTGATTTTCATTTCATGCTGCATGTCTGGTCATTTGAATCAGACATAAGTTTTTCCATTTCTTGACTAGATAAATCCTGACTTTGAAAGAGGAGAATAGTCTGTATGGGATGATTATTTAAAGTGTGGGGTATTCCAGGAAATATTTTTAAGACTTGTTTTCTTATGGAGATTTACAAGCACAGAAGACAATCATCTACTATAACAGACAAATTTGAAAACTGTACTGAAAACTGTACTCTCTTTCTTAAACTTCTCCCAGGGTATGCAACACGAAAAAGCTATCTTCCTTTAAAGTATATAGTAACTTTATAGTTAAAAAAAAAAAAGTTAGTAAATAGTTATAAAATGCGGTGGATACTGTCCTTTTACATTTTACATGACAAAAATCCAGCAAAGGATAAAAATTAACTTTTAAAGTATGGAGTTATTAAGCTCCTCATAGCTGAAAATAAAGTTTTTGTTTACTACGGTTTGAGTTGGAGCTCCAGATATGCATGTTTTAATTTAAAATAACAAGCAGGAAGAGACTATGCATTTGAAATGTTTTCACCTCCTTTGAATAAAGAAAAGAGTTATTTTATATTTCAGATTTTACTGATTCTCTAGGGCTAGAAACAGGTTTTCCTGATGTGGAAGATCAGTATTGATGTAATGTGAATAAAAATGCTGCATTAACTTCTGCAGCCCTGTTGACATGTGCAGTTATTTCCAAGATATTAGTAAATATCATTAAGGCAAGAAGCCAAAAAAGACCACATCTATTGGTGAAACAGAGCCAGTATATGTCAATACATACATATATATATATATATATATATATATATATATATATATATATATATATATAAAATAAGCAATAGCTAGATATCTTGAATAAACAATTCTAGTTAAGTATCTGGGTCCTTTCAATATCAAATATATTTAAAAAAAATCAAATTCAAATTCAAAAAATTCGAATATATTATAGGGAGAATAAAGTACAAATTTTTTTCCTCCATTGAAAAAGAAATTATTTCTGAGATGTAATTATAATAGTATTTTAATACTGCCGAAGGAAACTTCCACATTTTTAATTAAAAATAAATCCATTTCATGAAAATATGCCTTTTTAATTAATTAATTTTTATTTGATGGATATAAAGATTTTTGATATTGGGAACTAAAAGGTGTCACAGAGATTTCTGTTGTAAAAAAATAAGAAGGGCATACTGGAGTCCAGAAAAACTTGTCCTCCAAAGATTTTGATATATAATTTTCAATCTCCTGCTAATTTCACTGTTTTCAGACATCAGAGGTATTTTCCTATCTGTGATACAGTAACCTTTATTCTGTAAGTAATTCTGCAATATGCAGTATGGTATTAAATGCAGTGCAATGCACTAGAGAACCCAATGGAAACACTTACATGGGTAAAATTTTGGAAAGATCTATTTACGTCTTTTATTATTAATGATGAACATTTAGTGTTAATTTGTTTCCTTTTTCAATAGAAGTTATTTGCTTTACCAATATATATGCTATATGAGAAAAGCTAAGCCTCAAGGCTCACCTCCTACAATGGAAAAAAATAAATCAGTCTTCGTGTGATTAATATTATTATTAACATCCATTTTGAAGTTTGAAATACTCAGTGATTTATGAAGGCTGCAGATACTTCAGTTTTAGTGGTATCATTATCTTAGTAACACTTTACATAGAGAAGCAAGCAATTTTCTTTCTGAGTGTACCAGCTACGAAATCTATGCAATTACAGTGCTATTGTTTAAAAACAATACATCCCTTGCTTTAATATGCATTCCATATATCAGTTTGAGAAATTAAAAGAATACACACTTCCACTGTGACTGAGTTACTGGATGTTGTTCATCTGGTGAAGCCAAAATGACAAACATGAGTGGAGAAGACACGTCCAGGTCAGCGAGAAGACCAAAGGACCACATGGTGGCTCTTACCTGCAGGCTGTTGAAGATGATGAAGAAGACTAACATCCAGAGGTGCCGGTAAGCCATGTGCAGTCCTCCCCACAGCCAGGTGATAGAAATCAGAGCAAAGAGGTACAAGACCAAGGGGATCTCTGCAAACCATAAACACAGCATTTTTAGCTGCTTTGCCTTTGGAAATAACACGTTTTAAAGCATTACTGACACAGGACACGGTTTTGCTGTCTGTGGCTAACCTTAGAGCTTGTTCTCCAGTGGTGGGTAGCCCTTCTCCTGTTCCAATTGGGTGGGGGTCCCAGGGCTTTTATGACCCCATTCAGGGATCAGAAGACCAGAAGATGGACACTGTCAGGGGTCTGGAAGGTATGAGGGGCAGAAGAAGCACAATCCAGCTCAGCAAACTAAGTGGTGGGAATGAGAAGAATGTTGAATTTGTCTTTACAAATGAGTTGTGGCTCAGCCTGTAGATAAGGCTAGCACTGAGAGATAAAAGAAACAATGGGATGGATTCCACTGATTGATGAATGGAAAGAGATATTTGCCTTTACAAACAAACTGTAGGGCTGCTGATAAATGAAATTGGATAACGAAAGACGAAAGAAGCAACGGGGGGAAAACTATGAATTCTGTAAGAATTAAAAATTAAAAGGAAGGGTTATACATTAGAGGGGAATTTCAGGTATCGGGCGTTCCGGGAAGTCTGTGCCTCTCAATTACCTAAGCCAATGGGGAAAGAGAGAGGGAAATGCGGCCGGGAAAATAGGATAAAAAGGAGGCTGCGTCCTCCAAAAATTTGAGAGATCCCAGGGGAATGTCCCATGGCCTCTCCCTTTATTCGAATAAAGCAAAAAGGAGTCCTCTGTCTCCTTTTTGGACATAAACCTCTGGTGTTTTTGGATTAATTTTCCTGACAGGAAGAACACACATGAAGTCAAAAAAATATGCTGAATTTTGGAGAAGAATGGAAGAACACTTGGCAAGCTCTAGAAATTTTGAGAGAAAATAGATTTCTAAGATTTGAGAGGAAAGGGAAAACAAGAAAAATTATAGTGTGTTGTTTTTGTATAGCTTGATTTTTTGGTGAGGAGGGAAGAAGCCAGCCACAGAAGTGATTTTCTCTGTGGAAAGCTGCTAGAAGCTTCCTCCATGCCTGGCAAAGCATGGACTGTCTCTGAAAATAAACATGCTACTAAGCCAATTAAAGTAGTTGGGAACGCCTCTGTGATGACATATTTAAGAAGGAAAAAAACTACATGCAATTCCTCTTTCTTCATCTCCTCACAGGGTGGCGAGGTGGCTGCTGGGGCCCTTCCAGCACAGCCAAGGGGCCGTACCAACGGGGCCATCCCGGCACCACAAGTGGCCCCACAGCCAGGACCATGCAGCCAGGGGCAGTGCTGGGAGTGCCCATGCGGCTGGGGCTATCTCAGCATGGCCCACAGCGAACTGTGCTTGCCTGACCACTTTTAGCCAGCCATGCTGAGGGCAGAAGGGCAGGGGCGGTGGCAGCAGCTTCTCATTTTCGGTGCCCTGAATGAAGAGAGGCACTGGATGGAGCCTGCAGTGCCCGCGGGGACTGCAGGCATGATGAGTGATTCCCCAGTGTGGAGCCCAGATGGGACCAACCTTTCAGTGCAGCTAAACCCTATAATGACTTCTCAATTGACAGAACTTGAGAACAAACAAACTGACGGACACCAATTCTCTCCCAAGTCAAAGAAAAGGAAAAGGTGAAAACATGTGAGAACATGGCAACACCAAGTTTGGTGAAAGAAGGGAGCCAGGAGGTGCTTTGGGCGTTGGAACTGAGATTCTTCTGCAAGCCGTGAGGAGGATTATAACACAACAAACTGTTTCCCTGTAATTCGTGAAGCGCATGGGGGGATGCAGAGGTCCATTCGCAGAGAAAATGTGCTCATGCTGGAGTGTGTGGATGCTGAAAAGCTGTAATCTACTGGGAAATTTGAACAGAGAGAAAAGACCCTTGCTTCCAGAGATAGAGAAAGAGGATCCTTGCTTACAAACTAGAACATCCTTAAAATACCACACCTCGTGAACTAATGACCTATGCAAACAGTTGAGGGAAAACTGCTTTGCCTATGGGAGGGAATCACATTACAACAGGTTGGGCAGGACTGCTATTCCTGAAAATCACAACCATGTTGGAGAAGTTACAGAGAACTCTTTCCTGTGAGAAGGACCCCACAACATAACAGAAGAGACTTCTCTCCCTAAGCAAACGGAATAAAGATTTTTTAAAAGTAACAAACTGACTGATCTGCCCCCATGTTTTGTCTCCCTGCACTATGAGTGGGAAGGAAGAAAGGGCTGGTGGGGGGGGACGGGGAAGTTTTTCTAAAGGTTTATTTTAGTTCTCATTATCCTCTTTTAATTCTTTTAATATCTTTTCTTTATACTTTTTAAGCTTTGAGCCTATTTTGCCCTTCAAGTATTTTCTCCTAATCCTTATCTCACTCCATGAGCCTTTTAGGTTTTTTCCTTCTCCCCTTTGCTCAGCTGTAGCAGAGGAGAATGAGTGAATTGTTTTTCATAGATGCCTGACTTCTAGAAAGCCAGTGTCAAACCATGACATATGGTTACATAAACAGTCCCAACTCTCGCCACTTGCAGGGTTTTAGGAAATTATAAGAATAGTTTATGCTTCAATTTGTTGTTATTTTCCACTTCAAGTCAAACGTAAGACATATGACCCCATAAAACTTAGAGTGACAACTTCCTCTCAGCCCAGGAGACCCCCAAGATAAACTCTGAACCAGTTAGTTTCATTCATCTTCAAAAATCTGTGTAGAACCTGTCTTTAAGGATACAAACATAAATTTGCATTTTATGTTCCCCAGTGTATTTACACCATAAAAGATTTAGTGAATGCTGGCAGGAAGATGTCTGCCTGGACAAAGTTTGCAATAAGGAAAACAAAAGTTTCACCCCAACATGTTCCTCCAACTGACAAGAGCCAGCCCCTGTGCTACCATGTTTGCAGAAGAATTCAAAATCCATGTTTACCAGGTCTGCACACCTCAGGAGCAGAAATGCTTGGCAAGACATTGCTCCTCTCTGCATTAATTAAACAGCATCAGTGAAGAATGAGGATTTTTTTTGACAGGCTTGTTCCAGAAACAGCAGTGTGGGAGCCCTTTAGCCATTTTGTTTAATGCTGTACAAATAATAAGGGCCTTCTTAATGTAGGCAATACCCCAAGTCAGACACAACATTTTAATAAGAGAAAGCATAAAGATGCCTGCTTTTTGCCACATACTGAATACTGGTACAGTTTATGGTTCTGTTTTTACTTCGTTGGTAACAATTGCCTCATCAGTATTGCAAAGAGCTAATACAGAGTTGAAACTTTGGCAGCATTTAAAGCCTTGGATATTCAAGTTCTGTATTCATATATATTAATGTTTGCTCTAATTATTGAGCTTTTGTTGCATCAAAATTCAGCAAATTCTTAAAAGTTTGTAAAATCAGAATTTCACAAAGGAAAAGAATGCCAACAGGCTTGATATGGACCAAAATAGTCTAATTATTTGTATTTTTCTTCATATGAAAATAAAACCAACAACTCTCCCCTAGAGAAACCCCAAAGAGTTATTCTGAGCAGATGAACCTTCACTGACATGACTTTTACTCCAAGTCCAAGTGTAAGCAGTTGCCTCTAGATTATTTGGATAAACCTTAGTAGAACATCTGGTTCTTGATTTCTAGATGCATGTTGCCATTTCATGATGAAAGCATTCCTGCAATTCACTATTCCTTTTATTTTCTTGGATACATGATACTTATCTCATGATTCGAGATATTTTAGCATCTATCTTACAGGTTAGGGAAGACATAAGGCATACATTCTCACTTGAAATAAAAAACTCCATCCTCAGCATCATTTCCTGAGCACAGAAGCATGTTTGGAATGTCCTGCACTTGCATTTTGTGGGTTTATTTGCTTCTTGAGAACATCAGATAGTAGTAGGTTTGCAACCCAAACAATTCTATGATTTTATATTAAAGAAATTTATATGAAGGAAATTAAAGTAGGTAGTTAAAATTTTACAACTATCTATCCAAGCCATTCTTCATTAAGTTCTATTTTGGCAACATGAAGATTTAATCTTACATTAATTCTGGCAAATTTGTAATTATGATTACTGATTCAGGTAAGTTGTTCTGCATATTTATGAGTAGGGCATGAAAATTATACCAGTTCAAAATTCATTCAATAAATGAAGCTCATCTATTTACAATTATCAGGGGAAAAAATGAAGATGTTCTGTTACATTTTAAAATCTTTTTGTGAAATTATGGAAGGTTAGCAAACAAAAAATAAACCCATTTATATTGGATTGCTGTCTTGTTACTCTTCATTTTCTGTATTTGTATATTAGGACCTGTCACTAGTGGGTTTTCACAGGGCTTCATCCTCAGTCCTGTGCTCTTCAACATCTTCATAAATGACTTAGACACAGGACTGGAAGAGATACTAAGCAAGTTCACAAATGATATAAAACTTGGAGGAACTGCTGAAAAGGCAGGGAGGCCCTACAGAGAGACCTCAGCAAATCAGAGGGATGGACAATCACCAACCACACGAAATTCAACAAGGGAAAGTGCTGGATTCTGCTCCTGGGATGGGGCAACCCTGGATGGGGCAACCCTGGATGGATGGACAGTCTGGGGAATGAGATGCTGGAAAGCAGCACCATGGAAAGGGACCTGAGGGTCCTGGTAGATGGCAAGTTGAACATGAGTCAGCAGTGACCTGGCAGCCAGGAGGGCCAAGCGTGTCCTGGGATGCAAAGTTAAATATTAGTTAACCCAAAGGCTGTTTATCCAATGAATGTTTCTGACTTGGCTCCTGGCAAGGCTAAATTTTGAAAAGGTAGCTTCTATATACAGGAGGACAGTCAGCCAATAGAACATGTTTGCTGAAAGGCTGGCAAACAGAACGAGTACAAAGTGAAGACTTTTTAAGCAAACTCAATGCCTGTCTCCGAATGACTACACTAGAGGTAGGGCTAGCATTCCTTGAAAATCAGATTTCACCGTTTTTTTCAACCATTCACACTTTTATTTCCAACATTCACTTTTGAGAAGGAAGAGCTGACTGCTCTAAGAGATAACAAATTCTTGTCTCTCCCACTGCCCTTTCTTGAGCCCTCTACTGTTGAGGAAAAGTCCCTGAGCTGGGTAAACTATATCAATCACCATGCAATTCAACATGACCAGTAACAGAGCAATTCTGGAACAGTAAAAAAAGAGCATGAGAGGGCAAACTCACATATTTGGTTCTCCAGACAGGATAATGAGGAGTGTGCATATTGCTCAAATTAAGATTTGGCAAGCCCTATTTACTTGTGTTTATTGTGCACTACAACCTTGTTTTAATCATATTCTTTTACAGTGATAGCCTAGTCACAAGTAAAGAGTATAAACACTTTCTAGTAAGATCACAGACCACTGCCAAAGGAATTGACATCTATTACTAATATCAGGTTTTTGCTGGGCTAACTGTCTTTGAGCCATGGTATTTTCTTGAAACTACCAGAATAGGGTATGAGAGATGAGTATGAGAGATGAGAATTTACTTAAGGGTACCCAGGACAAATCCAGAGGACTAGTAAAAATATATACATGACAGGAAAGGAGTAATATCAAAATGGGCATCTCTGTATAAATAAAAGTAAAAAACCCTCCAATTATACCCTGTATTTTTCCAAGAAAATTTTTATCTGTCTACAGACAGATCCTTTTTGCAGCCAATTGTTTTCTTTTAGGCATATAAGGTGAAATCCAGCATTGTTATTCTGCTCTTGGGAAAGAAAAAATACACAGGAGTCTCCTTTAGTGTGGGTAGAAACAAACTCTGCTCCTAAGAGAGAAAAAAGTAGTAAAACACCATGCTACTACCTAGGTTCAGGAAGACATTTTACAGAATTTACAGAATTTATTGTAATAGCTGTAAAAGAATAATGTGGTTATTAGATATTTCTATAAGGGAGTGATTGTATTAGTAGAAAAGGGAAGAGCAACTGATGTCATCTGTCCTGAATTCTCTAAGGCCTTTGATATAGATAAACTGTTGTTTGGTGGCTCCACCTTTTCTCTGGTTTTGGACGAAACAGAGAGAAACCCTGGCATATTCATTGCCATAAGAAAACAGAAAAAACAATTTATGTCTCTGCAATTTAAGGAGGCAACATTGCCAAAAGACCTTCCTAACACATAGAGTCTTGTAAGCCACAACTTGGTGCAGGTATAATCCAAGATCTCCTCTATGTTTCAAAAGTAAGATATCATCATGAAAACTGATTACAGGCAAATTTACTGATGTGAGAAATGTTGTTTCCCACAACAGCCATTTACATGGCTACAATAACAAAAGCAGGAGAAGCTCCCAGGAATTTTTAAGCACATAAAGTCAGCTGAGTGAATGTAAAGAATCAAGATGTATAGTGATACTAAGCCTTATCACTGCAAGCTGCCTTTGACTACATCTTATAAGCACAATGTACCCAGAAGACATTAAAAACTGTGTAAATATACTACCACCACCTTTAATTTCAGAAGATAAATATTCAGTCCAAAAAGTCAAAGGCCTTTAGTCAACAGTTAGTACTGTTTTATGTAGTTATAGGCAATGTTACAAACTACAGAAATCACCATATTTTCTAGAAGCTTAAATCATAAATGCAGCTACACGGAGACCCCTTATACAATTACAGCCACCATAAATTGCAGGAGACAGATGGTTTTCCTCTCTAACAGCCTCTTTCCAGCCTGCTCTCACCATCGCTGTATGGAGTATTTAATCTGTGCTTACAAAAGCTCTTTGGTAGCAAAACAGCAGTTTGCCTTGCAGGTGCATAAATAGGAAAAGTTGCAATTGACTTAAAAGTAAGAAGGGATCTTACTAAACTTTTCTCTTTCTGATTTTTTTTGTTTTCTTCTGAGATTTGCTATTCTCCACCCTATTTCTAGATTCTATTGAAGAAAGAAAATATCCTCAATCCTATGCTAAATCAGAGATTTGTTTCAATCCTACTATTTCATGTCTTTATGTCATGCAGTTACAATTTCTATAAGTACTTTATGCCATTTTGCATGACAACTTCATTTACAGCATTATTTCAATATTCAGTTTGCTTTTTTCCTTTAGTTTAACTCCCCTGAGACAAACCTTAATTGTCAACAAATTATTAATGAATATCCTTAAAGATACCCAAACAAAGTTGCTTACAAATAAATTAAATGAAAGACTGATAAGAGGAGCCACCTCTGTACATTTATATCAGAGAGAAATGAAAGAACAAAGACCTTGAATATCAGCAGACCTTATCCAAATTCATACAGATCTTAGCCAAGCTAACACTATGTCATTAAAAAGGACAGAAATATTTGCAGAAATGCCCAGATTATAAATACTTATTATTTATTATAATTTTCTCAAGAAAGTAATATATCTCTATAACCAAAATATCAAAAACTGATTTGCACTACGTTATAAAACTAGTTTTCTTTTTACAAAATACCCTGAAGACAAGAGAAATGTTCTAAGCTTCCCACAGAGAGTCCTATTATTACAGTATTGGTCTAAACTGCTGCAACTTTATTTTGGGAACATTGTTGTAGATGAAATTATTCTGACAGAGGAGGCCAACTGAAACTTCCTGTTTTGCACAAGACAGATCTTTCCTTTCAAGCATGTTTCAGTTGCAAGCAACATAGGAAATATCAAAACAGAGGCATTAACTCCAAAGAGTCCAGTGCACGGAGCAGCCTGTGCATGGCTTTGCAGCCACCAAATACACTGCAAAACGCAGAGGCCAAGGCTGTGCCCGTCACCTGGGGTTGAGCAGGAGGTACAGCTTGCATCCATAGGTGATCATGCTCTGCAAGCAGGCAATCATTGCACCTGAGCAGCCCCAGCTCTCCCTGGGACAGGATGTTCAGTATTCCCAGCCAAAGTCTAGCATGGGGACACAGTGGTCCAAGCAGGGCAGTGCTTTGTTTTATTTCTGTTCTCTTTAGCTAGACTAAACTTACTCACAAAGCCAGTTACACTAATTTCTTGTTCTCGGTTTTACATATTTTTATCCCCTTCAGACCGTTAAGCATCTGCATAGCTTTGATCATCAAAGTAGTGTCACAGACTTCAAAGGGACACTAGCAGGCTTAATCGTAAACTAAGTGTGTAGGTATCTACTGAACCATGGTCTCAGGTGGGGCTCTCTGAACTGGCGAGAACAGTCCATATCATTCAAAGGTACAACTTGTTTGCATAAGGGTAGCCAACAAATCATACCTGCTGCATTTGTTCTTCCTCTGAAAATATCATCATATGCCTTCCATTGAGGAGTCACCTGGTAGGCATGGATAAACACCACGAAAACCACCACCAGGCACATTAATGGCACCAGAGCAGCAGTGAAGAGAGCAGCATAGGCATTTGGAATGAAACACCTGATGGAAAAAAATGGAAGAAAATGCTGTTGATAAGCATAAGAGACACCTTGAAAGGCCATAAATAGAATACAGAAACAAGTATTTTTGGAAAGGGATGTGCTTTACAAACCACAAATTCTTTAACTCTGTTCCCAGAGTAACTTTCATAGGTTCCTTTGTGTTCTGTTGGTTCTTATCTCATCATCAGATCATAAGGAGTGCTTTTGCTCCTTCAGTATGCATGTTATATTTAGCCTAACCAATGTTGGAAAAATTTAAGCTTGCAGTGAAAAAATATATTTTAGCAAACTACATGCTGCTGTATTAATTTAAAGAGATCATTCCTAGTCACTAATTTCTAAAAGGACATTATGGAATTTTCTACACTTACTTCCTGAAAGCACAAATTAAATTTTGAAAAATATATTTTTAAAATAAATGAATGAGTCCTAAAGAAACATAACTGTTCCTTTTCAAGTTGTTGGAAATGTTATTTTGCCAGAGAAGCTAAATGCTCCCTCCCTCCCTCCCTCCCTCCCTCCCTCTCTTTTTTCCCCCAGTTGTTCGGTCTCTCCTTGCCCTTTTCATTTATTTAAGTTATAATTACTTTTAAAGATGTGTCAGGAACACGAATTATCCCTGAAAGAGTCAAATTATGCATATATGAAGTTGACTTGAAGAAAATGGAGATGATAGTTGAAGCTCTCAGGGGTATGAGAGATCAGAGTTTTCTGTGTTCTCCCTGGAGACCAGTATGTGCTTTACAGCCACTGACCTAGTCTAGAGATGACGCACAACAGAGCAGCCCAAGGGACGGCACAGGAGTCAGTACGTCTAGAGATTATGTGGGCAGTTCTATCCCTATTAAGAGGGTGTAACTTACCCAGCCCTTCTGTTTCTCATGCCAGCTCATCTCAGTAAACTTAGCATTGATGCTGATACATGTCTGAGAGAGGCCTAGGTAAATGTTTCACTGAAATATCTGGTTGGATAAACCTTCTGGGTTTGCTCAGGTGTTTTCATACTCTGCCGGAAAGTCAAGATTGTATCCTGTGTTGTCTGTTTCAGAACAGCAGTCATGCATAATCAGTGAATCCCAAAAATAATATCCAGCACAATCAAGAAACCTTTCACAGCTCTCTGAAGAATGTAGAGGCTTGGTCAGACACCAACCTGAGATATCATCTGATAACATAACTGAACAAGTAAGCATCAGGGGAAGTAGGAATTCTACATTGCAATTCAAAATGTTTGTTCCTTTCCTCATAGAAGAGATACTTCTGTCTCCTTTACTCATGTTGTTGGCCTTCATTGTACTTTGCACAGTCTGTCCATGTCCCTTTTGTACTGAGAAGGCCAGAACTGAACCCAGCACTCCAGGTGTGACTTCATGAGTGCTGAGCAGAGGGCAAGGATCACACCCTTTGACCTGCTTTCAACATGGTTGATATGGGATTCAATATCCCATCCATTTTGTCTTTCCTATTTTTACTATTTCTTAGGTAGGAAACTTATTTTTGTTCCCCAAATGCATTCTTGAGTTGGCACAATTAGCACAAAGAAACAAAATCGTATTACCACAACCCATGTTGTTTTTAATGATTATACTGAAGGCAAGAATCTTAGCACAAGAGTAGTCTTCAATAAAATAATATTTATATGCTGAAATCTGTATTTTTTTCCACTTGATGCATTTTTGTGTTTCAAAGATAATACATACTCTAAAAAACTACCAGAGTTTCTTGAAACTTTATTGTGAGCACTCCTTTATATCCAGTCAAAAAAAGCTGTATAAAAATGAAAACATAGAGTGGTGGATCACTTTTATTAATATGCTTAGGTATTTGCTCTAAAAAGTACACTGGAAAGTTATGTAGAGAAATACACAAAGCCATTCTAATCTTCAAAGCTTACTTTGTTTTTTTTTTCTTAAAGCAATGGTGTGCAAGTCAATGACAACCACATCACCCTGTAAGATATAGTATTGTGATTATATATGTTGACAGGTATATGTTATTATGGAAATCATATGGGATAACATTATAGGGACCAACTGCAATTATTTCTTATACTTAAAACTGGGGATATAGCTATTATTCCATTACCATGATACATTTGTCCCATGGAACTACTGTGTATTGCATATTCCTAGCACTGGATAGGAATATTTAAAAATACACCAAAATATCAGCTAAGTTGATGTTTCAAAACACAACTACTACTGTACTTTAAAAGGCCTAGAAAGACTGATGTAGAAACTAAAAAACTACATCATTATAAACCTTATTTGTCTGAAGATGAGCATTATTTCCTGCAGTATAGCCTTCCAGCAAGTTCCTTTTTTCTTTTAAAGGCCCTAGATTTCTGTAGGATTTTGTTTTGTTTGTTTTAAATTTGAGTGATAGCAAAAAACCCAAGTAAATAACCAACCAACCAAAAAAAACTATCCATTGAAACACTGCCTTCTGCAAGAGAGAAAAAAACTAAAACAACCAAAAAACCCATAAAACCAACATTGTTAGCTTCTTTAGAGGTTCTCATCTTATTACAATGATTCCGTGACTTCTTAGTAACACTTCCTTTTATCAAAATGTGTTTTTCTTCCTCACTCTTTTAAGCGTTTTTGTTTCCAGCTTAGGTTTCTTCTAGCATTGAAAAGATAGCTATATAGCTTTTGTCCCTAGCTACCACAAGTCTTGTCCTCCTTGACTATTGTTATCTGACTGGAGGGTCCAACTTTGTTTTGACCACTGGCTTTGTTAATGTCTAATTTTGGTTTGATTGCTATAAATTTCTCTGTCAACTTTCTGTGAGGACTTAAAGAATGCAATTGCATGTCTCAAAACATTGTCCCCGTAAGAAAAACTACCACAACAGGAACTTAAGATAAGCACCTTTTTATAGAAAGCTGATAATGGAAACTGATGAAATATTTAACTAGCCCTCATAATTGCTTGTATTTTCAATTTATCAGTTTTTGTGATTTTTTAGGGCTTTCATTGACAGGAACTTGTTGGGAGCCCAAATATTAGTAAGATTATATAAGAAAAATCACTTAATGTGTTGTTAGTTTTATTTTTGCTGAGTTTGTCCTTTTACTGAAAAAATAAATTGTGTGGGAAAAGCTTACTTTTATCTTATGGATGTGTTCTTTAATTTCAATCAACTGAGAATTAGAAAATTCAACCAACTTTAGCATGGGAATTGGCACAAGAATTTATGCATTCTGGAATCATGCAAACATGTATTAACCTTCTGAGTTCTATACCAGAAGGCTTTTTTTATCATGACTTGGCAAAATTTTTCAGAAACAGCAGAAATATTAATAAGTAACCTATATGATCTTAACAAAACAAAATATTACATGAAAAATTATTGAATCATCCTCCCTAAATTAGAATGATGGGCAGCTATGGACTGAAAATGGGTCATGGATAAAATCCAGAGAAGCCTTTTACCAGCTGTCAAGACCTGTAACTATTTTTTAAAATACTTGTATTATACACATTAATATACTGTTAGGTTTCCTAGCATGTCTCCTAAGAGAATATTTTTATCTATTCCAATCAATATAGTAACTACAGTACACGTTGGACCACACATATTTCCAATGAGTGCAATTTCATGTAGCAGTAATAGCAAATGAATCTAATGAGAGCAGTTTTCCCACTTAAAAAAAACAAACAAACAAACTAAAACAAACAAACAAAAAAAAACAACCAGAGAAAAAAACAACTAAATTTGAGGGAGAATTAATTTCACTTATGACCCCACCAACAGTAGCCCCCAGCTTTTGTTTTGTGTCAAAGTTAAATCACAACAGAGCTTTAATCTGTCCTCTGGAGAACTGAGTATAGATATGTTTATCTTAAAACCTTTTTATATAAGAACTTTTCTTATATGAGAACTTTTTTGTATTTAGTACTAGAACTTTGTGTGCTAAAACTTAATTTCTCATGGTGTGTAGAATTACCCAGTAGGATAAAAATGTGGGTTCCTTCCAAGTCAGAATATTCTGTAATTCTGTCATTATCTACAAAATTCCTCCAACTGTATGTTGATATGGTTGAGAAAGAACCCTATTTTGAAGCCTTTAAAGTATGTAAAGACAGATCCTCAACAAATCCATTCACATGTTATTTTCACATGTTACAGTGTACACAAAGGTAATCAATTGTGCTGCGAGTCCTAGTCATCACTTTGAATCTTGGCTGACTGAGAAAATACATGCTGTAATACGTGTCATGTGTATTTGTTTGGGATACCCCTGCGTGGAACTTAAAAATCAACACTTGCTCTGTAATTCTATACCTAATTTCAAGCCCTAAATGTATCTGATAGACAGCTGATCTTGCAAGACAAGCCTTTATAGTGCATCACTGAGAGTAGTTTGGGGATATTCTGATGAAAAGTGACTGACCCTAACTATGCATGCTGGTCTAAGGTGCAGGATAGTGATCCCAGTCCATATTGTGTCTTTCACTATTCATTAGCAGGAAGGACATGACAGTTAGTTCTCTTGAACAAAGCTGAGAATGGATCAGTAATATATGTGCCCCAGATATGGTGGGGCAAAATACAGGTTTTAGGATTAAGGTAATTTTTACACAGGACCGGTGGGTTCTTGGGAATATTATGTAGAGGGCCTTCAGTAATGGACCGGATATGAGTCAGAGATCTTAACTTGAAATTCCAGTAGGTGTCAAAAATGGCTTTACAAAGTCAGTTGGTGTTAGATATGGTGCTATTGAAGGAACAAGGGGGGAACAAGGGGTATATGGAATGTTAAATCTTACTGAAACATAATGCAGTATTACATTCACAATGCAATGTCATCAATGAAAAAAGCCTGAGCCACAGTTAAAGAAATGGCTAATCAGACATCAGAACTTTTCCAGTCACTTTAACCCTAAGATTGGCTTCAGGAAATTAGCGCCAATACCTGGCTAAAGTCCATATTCTTATCTTTGGGATTTAAAAATTGGGAGCTGTGACTAATGAGAATTGGGTTGATGATT